GACCTTCTCTGTTAAATCCAGAGTAGACAAGGACACTCCATCCACATTGGGTCACTTTAGGGCCTACCTCCTAGCAGTGGACACACTCATTCTGTTCCCATTGGCTTTCTCTAAGGACAGGTTTCTTGGCTGTTACAGCGTAAATCTACAAAGAGGAGAAAGGGTTTGTGCTCATTCATACACCATACCGACAGTCTAGTCATCCCTACACCATACGTATATACATCATACATCATACAGACAGTTCTGTGCGGATTAGCCTGCCCTCCTCCGGCTTATTCTCCTCCTAAAATGTGCTCCCCTAGACCTACCAAGAATAAGAAGTGGGTCCCTTTAACTCCATACTTTTGATCTGCCAGAGCTTTGAAATAGACTCCTGGTTAAAAAAAGAAAAAGAGGTATGGTAGTACACATCCCAGCACTCCAGCAAGCCGATCGCTGTGAGTTTGAAGCCAGTCTGGTCTACATAGTGACTCCAGGTCGGCTAGGACGACATAAAGATCCTGTCTCAAAACAACACAAAACAAAGACCAGTGCCCAGAGCTGGCGTCCCAGGTGGCTGTGAGCCACCTGGCGTGGGTGCTGGGAACCGAACTCCTCAAGACTGCCAAGCCCCCCTTCAGCCCTGAAAGAGCCTCTTGTCTGCACTTGACTGGGTTTCTAAGTAAGGCTTCTAGCCCCATTTTTGGCCCGGGGGAGGGGCTGCAGTATCTCAGTTGGTTTGCATGATTTTGTTTTTCTGGTTACATTTATAAAATCCTTGTTTGTCAGAAACAGTGACAGAGCCCTAGTGCCATCACAGTCCCGTGTGGCTGATCTGTGGCACTGCGGTCTCCGCATACTGCCCGCAGTGTGTGTGACCCATAGAGCCCTCTGTAGTGAAGGACGTGGTCTCCGTCTGCACTGTCCACTGGGGTGACAGCTACTAGCCACGTGTGGCTCTTGAGCACTCCAGCAGTGCCTACTGTGACATTTCGAACTTGACTTAAAGGCATTTAAATATAAGCAGCCACACATGGCTCCAACCACAGATTGGCAGTTTTAGAAAGAGATGAGGGGTTGGGACGGGGGCTCTCTGCGCCTGCCTCTGTCGGTAACATACTTCCTCTATGGAACTCACTTTTTCTCAGGCCTTGGTTTACTCATCAGTCAGAGGAAATGGAGTAAGAGATTCCCTAGGTCCCTTATCGGTAAGACACCCTGTGAGGAGGATGCTGGCCAGAGGCTGTACAACTTTATAACTGGCCTAGGGTAGCCACTGCTCCTTGATCTGGTACTCCAGTTGTTGGTCCCCCTGTGTTTGGGGTCAACTCTGGAGACCAGGTGAGTGCCACATTTGTGGCATGCTCATTTGTGTGCTACAGGTTTGGCTAGAATAGGCTGTAAATGGGGTAGGAAGTCCAGAGGTAGCTGCACAGCTAACCTAACCTATAAGCACTGGTTTCTAAAGCATGCAGGCCTGGCCCGTGGCTCAGCAGGGACGACTCAGGTGGCCACCTGAGTTTGAACTATAAAGCCCACATGAAGGTAGAAGGAGAGACGCGCCTCCGAGGCTGTCTTCTGTACACAGCAGTCATTCTAAAGGTGGTACGTAGTCACTAAATGAGGTCTAAATCCCAAATTCAGTTCTGCTAGATACTCTAACTTCAGTTCTGATTCAGCTGGTTTAAGAGGTTTGGGGAGCCGGGCAGTGGTGGC